CACACCTATAAACAGTTCATAATTGTTCTTAAATCAACAAATTTTCAAAATGGCCTCAACTTGACGAAATGTCCGTAGAACTTCATAAAAACAATCATAAAAGAGTCCCGAGATGATTACCTTAGTTAACCAAGTGTAAACCTTGAAGAAACACCAATAACTACAAATTTATATCTTCAAAAACTTGCTCCAAACGCAGCTAATAGAAGGGGAAAACGATTGCCACGTGTAGAAATCACGTTTCTAGGCATGGGGCAACCTTTAATGGTAGAAATCGTCAAAAACCCTTCATCATGCAAGAACTCCATAGGAACCCTCTTTTAAGCTTTCTTTCTGGTTTGGAAGTGAAAATAAATATTTTCATGGCTTAAAACGTTGAGAAGACGACATACCACATTTTTGACCCGACCCAGTTTTTGCCCCGTCAGTCCGAACCCTCATCACTTTTTACTTCGATGTTGGTTGGATACGGGTTTTTATGTGTTGCAAACTAGACTCGTAGGACTTTGATTTAATGGGTAGTAGGCCTTCTAACTCCTTATATATTGGGAGAAAACATCCAAGACATTTGACCCAAAGTTAAGAAAATATTATTAGAGAAACTTCAATAACTTTTACCGACCTTAGTTTCGCTAATTTTCTTGACTTCAAAACTTAACATACGACCCTTGTTCTATTATATTACCTCATAACACACTATTCTTAGCATCTTTTACACTCATAGGCTTATCCACAAGGTATGGGACAATTTAAACCTTCCAAACGGGCAAAGTTCTACCCGAGCCATTACTTTAATTATGAACTTTGTTTGAGGGGTCCCTTTAACCTAAAACTTTAGTTTAGTTCCTTGATATTTCCACCTATTTGCAATCTTAATCTCCAATGTACGATACAAAGTCATATACACCTCATATAACCATGCCATACTATGACACATAAATTATGCAAGAATAGAAAAAAAGTACGGGATCTTACATATATAGTCATGCTTTTTCTATTTAATTTGAGATTGAACTTTACACTCCAGCTATGTCAATATTTAATTATGCCAGCCCTAAGCTTATTAGTCTCTACACCTATATCCACCTAAAACTCATGATAAGAAGGATATTCTTGAGAGAAATAATATTATTTCAGAGCACACTATATCCCGACTTGAAATTAAGTCATGATGACACCTACCATATACCATTAGTAGGCAACCAAAATCCAACTATAAGAGATAGGTTAAAACTAGCATATAACTATGTGGAAGCAATAATAAGAAAGAAGAGGAAGCCATAGCATAGATGAGTATCTAATGATACAAAATATATAGAAAGTGCCCAAAAGTGACCAAGAAAGACAAAACTATATACAAAAATTAACCTGGACCCATCGTCACGGGTACAAGAGCATCTAATTATAGAAAGAGACAATCTACAACAGTTTTGTAAATACAAAAATACATATATAGTAAACAAAAGGAAAAGCAGTAAGTCTCCGGACGCCAAGAGTTCAGCACGTGTCACAACTCGATTTCTCAAGTCATGATGGCACCTACTACATCCCACCAGTAGGTAAGCCTAACCCATAGCCTAGAGCCATAAGCAATTGTATATCAAGTAGAAGTCAACAACAAGGAGCATGAAGCTTATAACAAAGCGAAAAAGGATAATCACAAAACTCATTACAAGAAACCATCGTCAAGACCTAGAATCAGTCGGTAGTCGAGCATTTAATCAAAATAAGAGTACAAGCCTTTATACAAATGCAAAATGAGTACATATTGTCTCTGAATACAATATAAAGACTAAGCCTAGCAAAAACAGATGGAAACTGGTAACTCCGAACGCCAGGAGCTCACCCTAGTTTTCGAACTCCAAGTTATTCGCATAACTCCAAATCAACAGTGAGAACTCAAACTATGATATGCAGTGAGCAAAAGTATAGTATGAGTACAAAAAAATGGTACTCAGTAGAGTAGGCATCAGTCGACTGAACTCCAAAGATATGGCAAGTATAAATAACAAAGTACTAAGAAAAGCATAGCACAAGTAACTAACAGGAGATAATATGGTAGGCGAGCAATAAGGATTAGAAATAGGAAACAAGAAAAAAAACCGAGTCAAGAAAGTACCTAGGACACAAGACAATATCCCACTCACAAGAAAAATAAGATACATGATTCGACTACCCAAGGTCAAGATGCCTAACATCAACAAAACTAACTCACAACCTATCAGCTATCAGATCAATAATAGAAGAGAAGATAATATAATCAAACAATAACCTAACCGAACCCTATAAGCCCAATAGGTACAAACACCAAACACACCCAACCAGCCTCACATATATCTAGAGGGTGCAATCAACAAACAAGTATGCTGGTGATAAGCAATGCATATGAATGTATAGTATGCAGTAGCACCATCAGTAACCAAGTGTATAGATCTACCTCTCTGTCGTGGGAGTGAGGTAGGACCCATGCAACTCCCTCATGCGGTACCATGGTAACCATGGTAAGAGGGGCCTATAGGGGATGCGGGAAGTTTGTATACACTTCCTAAGCCCGAATCTAGATCTTATCAAGAATATAGAGCATCATGACCTCACCTTAAATCTGCTAGTAGTAGGAATTAACTTTGTTGTGATACCAGAGGAATTAGTAACCAAAGCCTTGTAGGAAAGGGCTTCAATATTCCGATTAGTCAAGTAAACACTAAGCACATCCCAGATGCCTCCAATGTCTCAAGTAGGAAATGAGTACGTTAATGACGCCTAA